TTTTTTTTTTTTTTTTTTTTTTTTTTTTTTTTTTTTTTTTGCTTGTTCAGATCTAACGATCTATAAATATTCATTTAATTATTTACTTTCCCGATACGTGCACACCATAGGCATATATAAGAAAACGTTATTATTGTTATTGTTACTAATATTGTTGAAAATTCAAAGCTCAAAAATTTTGTAAAATAAACACGCCACTCAATAGCGAATACAAAAAAGCGGATAAGCGGCTTAGGTCGAATTTTCGATTACCATTGTCTAATTAAAAGCAAGCATATATAGATTATGCGTGTTATATATATCAAGCAATTGACTTTAGTTCAAGGTACAGTTGCCACCGAAGTTAGGAGGAATATGCTTAACGATGAATTCTCGGAAGCCCTTTAAGAGAAATCTGATTTTTACATGTTCGTAGGGGACGATTAGAAAACTTAGTGTATCTTTAAGCGGCCAGCGGGTCTAGAGAAGTTCCAAACTAATTTGTTGTTCTTAGTCATGTTGTGTGTAGTAATCGGGAGTGTTACGAATCAAATTTTTTCCTAATAATGCTTTGTATTGTAATTTTAAAGATCTCTGATCTTGTCAGAGTGGATTTTACTTCTTCGACCTGGCTTTTTGCTTAATTTCACTGTTAATTGTGAACAGATCAAATCGCAAAAAAAATATTTATGAGAGCGAAGGATCAGTAACTACGTGCATGACAACTAACGGAAAGGGAAAGAGGTTAAATAGTCTGTAGCTGGCATTAGAGCAAAATTTCGCTGATTTTGTGTTTACGGGTCGTTAAAATTGAGCAACGAAATTTCCCTTTCCCTTTCGTCAGAGGGTACAGCAGGGTTTTGGAAGAATCCACGTAAGACATCGGCAGACGTCTACTGCCCTTCCAAAGCAAAAGATACTTTCAGTTTCTAGTCTCTGTCTTGATTTCTTTCTTCTGGACCCTTTTAAGAACTAAACGTCAATGTGGGTACCCAAATAAATGGGGCGTATATATATATTAAGTGGTTAGTATACATGTACTTTAACTCAGCTAGAGTGGAATATTGCTTTGATTGTTAAGAGTATAAAGTTTTATCTAATATATGACTGTTCTTCGAGTAGAGCCTTGAAAAATATAAACAATTATTATTACATTATTAGACTTATTGTGCAATAGAATATTTTTTCTCGTAAAATTCTATTAAATTTAATATTTTTCACGTTTGCATTGTTAAAAAGCGAAACAATTTTTAAACACGTAAACTATATATATATATGTATATACATGTTATTATACAAAGAAGCGTAAAACAGTTCAATTATTATTCAAGGTTTCTCATGTGTTAAATTCTACTTCGAGCATTAAGTGTAAGCTTAGAGTTCTAAGAACTAGTAATAAACTTAGGCAATAAATATTTGAATACATTTACGGTCCTCTGCAAAAACCTAAATCAAATTTATAACCTAATTTTATTATCAGATCCAGATGTTTCCATTGGTCCGCTTTTTTTTTAAATCCCGAATGAAAGCTTTATTATTGAGCTGCGCTCGCCCCCCGTTGACCACAAGATGCACTTCAGCGGCTGAGTATGTGGTTAACTACGGCGGACGGTGTGGTGATCGATGACTTTCTTTAAAAGTTTGACTTCACGTCTTCAAAACGTTCTCCTCTGCTCAACACAAATTTTTATCAGTCTTTAATTAGTCCAGCAACATAAGCCTTTCCCGGTTATTGTGATTATTTATGAATTCTTTCACTCACAATGCTTGCAATGGTCTTGTATTCACCGCAATATCCTTTTATAATGTCTGCCAATTTCTTTACTTTAACCTAAGTAAAAGTAAGTGTAGTAGTATCTCCGCACGTAAGCAGTAGCGGTAGTAGCAGCAGTAGTAATAGTATACCTAAGTATTCCTTTAAAGAGCCTTCCATGAAATCCTCTGACGAAAATGCATCCTTCTCTCACTAATCTTAAGAAAGAGAAGTTGAGAGTCGAATATTATGAAAGTTTTGTGAATTCTTTTTTTTTTTGTGCCTTCACATGTAGGGGACTTTGGTAAATTCTCACTGGCTCTGCTTTCGAAGTATTTCCGCTCCATTTTAGATTGCATTCTCTAGTTTCAATGGGATGATCATAGTCAGGGGCCACTTTATGATTCTCGATATTGAGTAAACCTGATCGTAATTCGGATATGTTACTCGACAGCAATTTTACGATCGAAGGATTTCGTATACGATATCCAAAAAAAAAAATACATATGCTATCGACAACTGTAGACGTAGACATACGTTCTACTCGTTGCAGTAAGACTATAATGCGCAGCTATTGTCTTTACTCCATATCGAGAAGGAACCTTTAAAAAAATTTTTATGAAAAATTTTCTCCGCTAACTAAACTCAAAAGTTTTACGTCCCTCGCAGTATAATTCTGCATATTGCTCATTTAACTTCTCTCATGTTCTATCGAAATTATCAGTATACATTCAGCTAAACCTACCTACCAGGTGTACGATGATGACTCATGTCTGTTTCGTTTATGAGAAAAGAAAAAAGCGGTTACATCAAAGGAATAGTAAAAAATGTTTTAGATAAAGAGTTTGTCCAATCGTTAAATACACGTTTTCTTCGTCTTTCTAACAGAAGATGCGTTCTTTGCCCTGACTCATTGCTCTCTTGCGGCATCATTTTCTCGAATATACTCATAAGAATGGAAACACTACACAAGCAGACACACAGGCATCTATTCGGACAAACATTAATCAAACGAATGGGTGCTATATGTAAAAGTTAGCCATTCGTTTTGGCCTTTAAACTTGTCTGTCCATCTGCCCGTCCGTTGCCTGTCCATGTATTCTTGTGTTGCTTTATGCCACACCTGAATTGACTTAACATAGACCCAGCTTGTCCGTCCGTCTTCTCTTGTTCAACCGACAGGCAGTAATTTTTGAGATATTTTAACGACATTCTGTATACCGACCAAGGTTTCTTGGGTTTTTCGTCCAACGTCACATGAAAACGCTTCCCATGTAACGTTTTATATTAAAAATCATTGTATGACATCGTATGTAAAGTGGCGTAGGGCATTTAGTGGTGGACTATAGTTTTCTTACTTCATTTCTTATAGTGTTAGGTAATATTTGTCATATAGATATTTGAGATTAGAAACATGTTTGCAATATTAATACAAATGTATGCACAGAAAGAAGATTTACTTCACAATGATTGCTAAGAAAATTCTAAAATGAATATATATCTATATAGATCTATATACGGTGATGGCTCTAAAAAAAAAAAAAAGGAAAAAAAGAAACGTGATTTTTCAAATGCCTGAGGGAGTAATAAAATCTCATGATTTCATTGTTTATTCGACAGTAATAAAGCGTTACTCATAAATAAATTTATATTAAATTGAATCATTGTTTAGCCTTCTTAGCTATTTTCTATTTATTTATATAATTTTTTTTTTTTTTTTTTTTTTTTTTTATTTTTTTTTTTATTATTATATTTGTTTTCTTCTTTTTCATTGCAGAAAATTATAAAAAAAAAAAAACTCATTTTAAGAAAAAGTCATGTTTCTTATGAAATTATTTTAAATTTAAACTCAAACTATTATGGATGGTTTACATCTTGGTGGTCAATTATCTAAAGATCAATTATTGCCTTTACATTCGTTACACCACCAGTCCATGAGAACCGGAAGTGCACTTGTGCTATCACGCACAAGTCGTTCCCCCTCAGCCTCACGCAGTACTGAACAGAGTAAGTCTTAATGTTTCTTATTAGTCTCTATTTGTGTTATCTGTTACGCTGTTTTCCGCTCATTGTATTATTAAGAGTATGCCGTTGTTTATATATTTCTTTCATTATTATGCGCATTCATCAATTTATGATTTCAAGCTCTATATCTGTTGAAAACAAAAGCCAAAAAATATATACTACGATGATCATTGTTTTCATTTTAAGGCCAGTGAATGTTACCCCCACCTAAGCTCTAATTAAAAGTTCTTGCAAAATTTTTATTAAGTTGCTTGTAAGTTTCTTCGACGGAATTAACTTAAGATAGAGTTCCCGGTAGACAAGAAAAGGTTCGCATCAATAAAGGGACGAAAAGAGAGAGAGAGAGAGGGAGAAGCTTTAAAAAAAAGGTCTAACCTCTCGGTTAAGTCTATTTTTGAATAGGAATTGCTCCTCACTAATAATTTGGCAAAGTTTTCTCTTTTAACTAAGCAAGGACTTAATCAGGTCAACTTAATAGAAACGGCTGCTTTTATACGGTTTCCAAATAATTATTGATTAGGTAAGCATTTTTGCGGTTTGTTTTCCCCTTCCAAACCAATAAGCGAGAATTGAATTTTTTTTCTTTGCCTAATAATACTAACATTACCAAGGAAATCGAAAAATGGCTGAGGAAGAAAAACATCTTCACGAGTATGGAAGCCATATTTCTTTCCCTTAACCCTTTTTGGCGTAAAAATTAATTCGTAAAAGGGGAAACTGAAAATTACTTAAAGCAGTAAATGAAGATCCATTTCATCTTCGATATGTGGAAATATATTATTAAAAAAATTCGATCTTTGATTTCTTCTTCTTTGTTGTCTTTTTCTTTCCTTTTTTTTTCCCCCCTATCGCTTCTTTTCTCATTTACATTTCTTATTTCTTCCTGCTTCCTTTTCTTCTTTCCCTTCTCTTAACATATTTTTGGTTTCTTCTTTTTCTCTTCTCGTTTTCTTTTTTCTCCTCCTTATTGTTTGCTTTCTATTTCTCTTTTCCCATTTTCTATCTAAATTTTCACTTTTTCTCTTTTATCTTTCCTTTTGTCTTTTTTGTCTCTTTTTCCACTTTCATTTTTTATCTTCTACGGCTTGTATTTCTTCTTTTCGCTCTATTTTCACTTTTCTTTCCTCACATTTCACTTCCCTCTTCATATTTCCTCTTGTCTCCACGCTGTCGTTTTCTTTTCCCATTTTCATTATTTATCTTCTGCGTTTTCCCCTTCTTTTGTCCTGTTTTCACTTTTTCTCTTTCTTTCCATTCGCGTTTCATTTTCCCCTTTTCTCTTCACCCGTCCGTTTTCTGTTTTCTTTCCCTCTCTGTTCCCATTTTCATTTTTTATCTTCCCCTGTTTCCCCTTCTTCTTGTCACTCTATTTTCACTTTTTCTCTTTTTTCTTTCTCTTCGCACGTTCTTCTTTCGTTATCTTCTTGTATTTCCTCTTCTTCTCGTCCTTCAATTTTCACTTTTTTTTCTCATTTTTCCTCTTCGTTTTCTTTCTCTTCTCTTCTCTTCTTTGCTCGTCTCTTCCCCACTCTTCTGTTCTCCTCTCTATTATTTCGCTCTCCTCTATATTTTTATCGCATTCTCACCGCTTTGTGCCTTGTATTCGCAAGTGAACATTAAGAAGTGTAAATGCCGGTTCAATTTTTTTCGAGATTCGACTATAAACTTCGGCAATGTGCGACGTGGAAAGTAATTGATTATATCGAGCAAAGAATATGCATTAAATTTCGCGGAGTGTTTGAAGAGTATTCTGGCTCGCAAACGTTGGGGATGTTGTGGAAAACCTTCGGTGATAAGGTTATTTTGAAAAAAATTCGAGAAAATTTAGGCAAAAACTTGAGTTATATCATTTACAATCACCATATACGCCCGATTTAGGGTCGCGCGTCGTCTGAGTATTTAACAAACTCAAAAGACTATGTCAGCGACATCACCTCGATACGAATGAGGAGACCAAGCCAGAACCGGCGACTGCATATAAGGCTATCCCGGCAAAAAACTTCGTTGACTGTTAAAACCTCGTAAGAGGGAATATGTAGATAAAGGTTTGTCATCTTATGCACAAACTCATCTTATTTTTTGACCATAATATGTGTATGATCAGTCAGGCAGGATATGTAAAAAAAAACTTGTATGATGATAATGATTAGGGAGAAAGAAGCCCTTACCATAATCGCAATTAAAGTATATTTAGTGCTCTCGAAGGAAAGTTCTTGATTTTTTTGATTTCATTTCACGGAAGGCGAGAAGATACTTTTTTGTAGGAGTACGAAAACTGCTCTTAATACTCTCTGGGCACTGCACTGATTTATTTATTTATAGGTTGTCGTTATGCTTCAAAAAGAAAATTGAAAAAAAAAAACAATTATTAAATACCCCACACCAACCCACAATTATTTACATAGCGACTTTTTCAAGTAAGGGGTTATGAAAAGTGGTCGAGAAGGTAGTCCGATGCAAATCATTTTCAATAGCTTTCGTCCTTGTTTGTGTGCCAAAGATCTCAAGAATTGGGTGCGTTAGCCTGAACAACAACAAAACAAGAAATACACACGGACAGACAAGCTTAGTTCGAGAGGAAGTAATTCTAAATCGATCGTTATAATAAAAGGTGGGTCTCTCTCTTTCGCCTTTCTGTTACTTATAAGCAGCATACTCACGTACACATTTTTGTTTATATTGTTGTCTTGTTATTGTTTTCTTATGCACATTTTTCGTTTCACATAGATTTTTCGATTCTCTGTCACCCACCATCATCTATATAAACGTACTCGTGATCATTTAATATTCTTAAGAATAACGGCAAGCCTAAAAGTTTGTTATAGCAAAAATTGCACTTCTACGCTTGCATTGAAAATACATGTTATTATGTGTGCTATGCGTCTCTTTCCTGTCTCTCACTGTTATTGGCTATAAATAGATACATTAAAGTTTTAAACGCTGTTTAAAGAAAGAAAGAAAGAACGAAAAGAATTTTCAAAATATTTGATAAAAAACTTTTCAACTACGCATGAATATAAAAAATACAGTGTCAAGAGAGCGTGATCAACGCATTGAGAGTGGTGAAGCTTTGACAACAACATCAGCAGCAGCAGGTACGGCATCTTCTGCCGGCTTAATTGGATCAGGTAGTGCTACCAGCAGTGGTACTATGACTGGGAGTTTGGGCAGTACGACTGCGGGAACGGGCGGCGCAGCTGGTGTTGGTGTATCCGCCGTAACTACTTTTCGCGGTTTTCGCAGCCAATCACCTTCAAATCGACGCAGTCGTGAACGAAATCGTACTCACAATCGAGCTCACGGCTCAGATCAAGGCGGTCTGTTAGCCTACGGTGCCATGACTAATAATGGTGGTCTGGGTGGCAGTAGTAGTGGTGTTATTGGTGTTGGTGGCCCATTAAGCGATTTATTAACAAATATGGATATGGGCTTGAGTAGCGCGGGTATGGCAGAAGATTCACGTTTATCAGGTGAGCTTTCCATGAAACTATGTAAAAAGATGATTTCTTCTTAACTGACTGCATTTTTTTTTTTTTTTTTTTTAAGGCAATGAAGATCTCTGTTATCAATCGTTTGCTTCAGATGAATTAGATACCAATCCCGCTGGTGATAATAGTAAAAAGCATCATCGTCGTCATGAACGTTTATCAAGTTTACAAGCATTAGATCGTTTGAATACAAAAATCCAATGTACAAAAGAGTCCATACGTAAAGAACAAACTGCCAGAGATGGTAAGTAAAAAAATTAAACAGAACTAGAAAAGTCGATCCCCTGCTAATACTTATAATGTCTCCTAGATAATGTTAATGAATATTTAAAATTGGCCGCCAGTGCTGATAAGCAGCAATTACAACGAATTAAGGTGAACTTCTTTACAATGAATATATACCGGAGCATGTATACTAAACGATCTTCATTTTTTTTTTTTTTTCGTTTTAGGCTGTCTTCGAGAAAAAGAACCAAAAAAGCGCACACACAATTTCCCAATTGCAAAAGAAATTGGACAGCTACACAAAGCGTGTTAAGGATCTACAAAATCAACAATATCAAAATAAAAGTCAACATCGGCAACCCCGTGAAGTGTTACGTGATGTAGGCCAGGGCCTAAGGTAAAGTTTCAGTCTAGAACAACTATTCATATCATATAGAAGTTGATATTATAAGTTTCGCATAGGTCGAGTAGTCTTCACTTATAGAGCAGGCATTACGAAAATGTCTCCAGTCAGTTGGAATATACTGGAGTTTTGGTCAAAAAGTCCAAAAAGAAAGCATTTTCTAAAAGCTGGAAAAGTCCTTGAATTCCTGCTGAGAAATACTATTGAGACTTTGCCTCAGAAATTTTGTTAGAAAGTGATTTAGCGCCTACTTGCTTTGAGCAAGCGGCAACAATTGATAAACTGGCCTTGTCGGATCTAAGGATTCATTAGAATTTTCCCACAAGGCTCTCTGGTAAAATGCGGTGTCCTTCCAATCTTTATTTTGGTAGCATTTGGAGAAAATAAATTATATGTATCTATTCCGCCTTACTAAATATATATATATATATATATATAAGGTCGTAGTGAACTTCAGAGGAAATGTGTCAAAATTTCATGAGATTTCGAATTGCGCGTAGAACGCGTCACTGAAGTAACTGCAATTTCTAAACTAATGGTAGGAATGTCATGAAATTATGACGAATTTTATGTGAAGGTTCTCTTGTCGTCCTTCGAATTATTGAGTTATGGGTTATTTATCGGAACTTCGTGAAAACCCTTAGAAAGATCTTAGTAGATTGTCTTGTGATCGTTATGACCACTAATTAAAAATATATGTATTTTATCACAACCCATATATCTTCTATGCTGAGTAACTGGAAGTGGGCAGAAAAAAGCATATTGAGCATCGTTGTGAAAAGACTCATTTATTGCATTTAGGAAGTAATTCGAAATCTTTTAAACTCATGACAGTGCAAGGTTGCAATCTATTGGGAGTACACATTAGCTCGATCCGGCGCCAAAGCCTAAATAACGGTGACCGAGAGTATGCGAACCAATAACATCGATAATAATAAGGCTGAGTGTCCTTGATGGTCTCATTTGGCAGGTCCAAAGTTGGATCCAATCCAACGCGGTTCATCGCTAAGAAACGCAACCAATAATAATTGGTGCAATTGTGTTAAACAATTGGCATAACATACCAAAAATCATAGGAAACCTCACTCAAGATATGTTTACAGTTATAACCTGGAATGTCACATCCCCTCCGTTACTATCAGCAGGTTTCAATAGATGACCTATTGTTTGTTCTAACATTGTTCTGGTTCTTGTGACAATACCCAAATTCCCAGTTACGTTGGGAATAGCGTTAAAATACAATATATTTTTCGAAATGAAATTCGAAAAAAAGGCTTTCAAATCTTTTTCGAATCTTTTCCGAATATCGGAACTGTAGCTTGTCGCGCCAAATGTTAAGTGGAGCTTCCAAAAATCAACTAATGCTCGTTGGCAGGTCCATATGAGTTTTTCTTCTTTCAAGACAAGGCTTAAACAAATTTCTTTATTCTTCTTCTACTTTTTTGTTTTTGCTCTTTTAATTTTCAGAAACGTAGGCGGTAATATACGTGACGGTATTACCGGTTTTTCTGGCTCGGTTATGTCAAAACCCAAAGAAATTGCGCATTTAATAAAAAATAGATTTAGTAGCATGGATAACATAAATCAAATATCGGGTAAGTGTCGACTAAAAAACGTTCCATTGAGGCCGTTCTTTATAATCCTTTATTTATCGTGATTAGAATCTGAATTAAGTAATTTAAACGTTCCCGCCACGCAAGATATTTTGGGATCGTCAACACCAAATAATATTATACCCAGCGCTTCAACCGGTTCGGGGGGATATGGAGGCGGCGGAGGTGGTGGTGGTGGTGTTGGTGGAGGGGGTGGGGCTGGCAGTGGCAAATTTAATAGTGAAAATGGTAGTGAATGCAGTAGCGTTACCAGCGGGAGTATGCCGGCCGAGTAAGTTGTAGAAGCGCATTTTTTAATTCCTTTTTTTTTTTCTTTCTATATTTATTATTAACATTACTGTTCTCCTTTTTTTTTATTATTATTGTTTTAGTTCACGGAAAAGTCATTCGGTTAATCATATTGATATCAATTTATTATTAACTGAACTGGAAGAACGTAAGGCTGAAATTAAAAAACTAACAGAGCGTGTTGAGAATTTAGAGGTAGATATTGTGGGTTTAATGATTACACGCTACACCACTTATGCTGCAGGATATTAAGTTTGTCCGGACGCTTCTTACCCCCAGAAGGAATTAAAATAAACGCATCTTTTGTTATCAGAATCATTTTCTGAATCGATAATCCAAGGTTGTCTGTCCATGTACATTTGTGTTCAATCTACAGATAGCAATTTTCGACATATTTTGATGACATTTAGTACACTGATATGCTGATATGCTTTGATCCAACACTGTGAAAAATGTTTCCGATCGGTCCACTTTTTCGGCCAATCTCCATATAACAACTGATTTTGGCAAGTCGTTATAATAAAAGGCATTATAATTTTTAGCATTTTAGGACTCTCTTTGCAATAGTATTTTGGCATTCTAAGTGAGTGGAAAAACTTTAGATTGGATGAGACAATGTTTTGAAAATCCTTTCCATATAATGGTTTCAATTGTAAAAAGGGCTTCATTTTCAATACTTTTTGATGAAAATTCGCTCACAATAATAATTTAACATAAGTTCTAAACAACTTAGATCGCATTAAGTAAGAAGGCTCTTTTGAAAAGCAAGCCCGTTAATGGCGACAATAACATGATTTGTGGTTCATTATGACGAAAGCAACTCGAACATAATAAAGGCTTTGATAAGTAAATTAAGTTATCTAAATTTAGACCACATCGACATTTGAGTATCCTCCAATATGAGGGCTTCCATGAAACTTATGCATATACATAAGATAAGGATGTATAATATCTGATGTATTATTAATTAAGCGAAGTGGTGTAGGGTATCTAATAGGTAGTAGTCCGTCCAACTATAATATTTTTACTATTTTCTTAAAAATATTAAAAAAACAAAAAAAAAAAAAATTATTACTTTATTTTTCGTTAGAGCGCTCAAAAGGACTTTAATAGCTTAACGGCTACGCTCGAAAGTGAACGTTATCGTGCGGAAAGCTTAGAAGAACAAATTAACGATTTGACTGAATTGCATCAGGTTAGTTACGATATCAATGCAGAATGTTAATAATGTTAAATATTTTTCAAATAATTTTATTTATTCTCAACTTATAGAATGAAATTGAAAATCTTAAACAAGCTATCGCTGATATGGAAGAGAAAGTGCAATATCAAAGCGACGAGCGTTTACAGGATGTGAACGAAGTTTTAGAAAATTGCCAAACAAGGGTAAGCTTTCAAAACTATTAAACTATACGTAATCCCAAAATATTCCTTAGTCGAGATTTGATTGTTATATCAAACGACAAAGTTGAAAAAATCATTATAGAAACCCGAAACTTGTCTTTAATACTTTTCGATTAACTTTCCAAAGTCAAGTTTACGAAAAAAATAAAATTCGTTGATGTCACAAAGATATGATAGAAAAATATGAGAAATTTCAATCCAAGTTCATATAAAAAGTCGGAGTGAAGACAGGTACTCCATTCCGCCGAATCGGATATATTAAGTACGCAAGATCAATCTCACGACATTCTTAATTCTCTTATTATTAAATCTTCAAAACTTCATCATCAATTTATTTAATTCCGCCTGTAATATGAAATAATAGCTTAGACGAGTCTGCTAAAATATAGATGTGTACCTATATCTCAAAGAAGGGACAGAAATTGTTTCAACTCTGCGAAAATGAAAACAATTATTACGACATAACCTCAAAAATTATCAACCAAAAACGAAGGCGCTTGCATGCCCTAGAGCCTAGGAACACGACAATGGAATAGGTATACGCGGGTTCAATCTTCAGCGCATTAGGCCAGCCTTTTATTAAAATTTGTGTTCATAGATGTAACTAGTGTGAGGGTTCGGTTATTATACTGTATTGACTTACAGATTGGGTACACGATTCCCACTCTACGACTACTCTCTCCTTCCCTATCTTTCTCTCTAGTTCTTTTTGACTGGCTATAGTGTGCATACATATATATACACATCTACGTGCATACATGCATGTGTACATTTTTGTTAAACGTTGCTGCTCTTCCTGCTTTCATATTTGAGACTAGGCATAGAGTTGACATATCATGGATATATCGAAAGAGAAGCTGTATGGAATTATTAGAATTCTTAAGAAACGAGGGTAAATATTACAATATAACTTCAAAAATTGGAAAAAGACAAAAAAAAGTGTGTATAGAAACGAGACTTAAGAAAAAAGTGCTCGGGCAATGCAGTTTCGTAGTATCTTATATCGCTCCTCCATTTTCGCATATACAAAAATGAACTAATTCCATAGGAACACAATAAAATTTCTGCATCAATCAATTAGATCTTGTTTGAAAAGGACACAAAGTCCATGAATAAAAGTTCACACAATCTGCTGAGGCATCGATATGAATTTTTTTTTTTTCACAAAAGAAGTCAGTTTCATTCAGCATATTTCTATATCGGCTTTATTTCTAATTCGCCGTTATTTCTTCATGTACGGTATTTATACCCTATGTGACTTTTGCTAGAAGGGCATATTAGGTTTGTTGTGGATATGTGCAATACACAAAAAAGGGCTTGAAACAGACCCGGCTTTTGTTATACCAGTCGATTCAGAATTACTTTCTGGAACGTTTTATGTTTGTATGTCCGTCCTGTTTTCTGTGTTCAACATACAGATTGCAATTTTTGCTTGGACTACTTTTGTGACCACTTCGAACATAAGGTTTTGTTTGGAAAGTTGTTTTATGAAGAACGCTATAGAGCGAAGGTGGTGTAAACTCAATAATGCGTCATAGCACACTATGTGTGCTTAGTGGTTTTATTATGAATATGGGCACTCTATAGAGTCTCCCATCCTTCACCGCAACACCGATGGATATCAAAAATTTCTTAAGAAGGAATTTCTTGTTCTTATTCTTGTTACCCATTTTTTACTTATTCATTTCGTAGACTTGTATATCTTTATTAATATTAATTTCCTATACCTTTAGATTTCGAAAATGGAACATTTATCTCAGCAACAATATGTGACAGTCGAAGGTATAGACAATTCGAATGCCCGTGCTCTAGTAGTAAAATTGATAAACGTGGTTTTAACCATATTGCAAGTGCTTTTGCTACTAGTTGCTACTGCAGCGGGCATTATAATGCCATTTTTGAAAACAAGGTAAGCATATAAGCGACGAGCAGGCATCAGGCGGAAGTGTCCTCACTTATAATAGTAAATTTATTTATTTACTTTCCTTTTTGTTTTTTTCATTTTCATTTTCAGAGTGCGAGTTTTAACAACATTTTTGACGATATTTATGATTTTTTGTGTGATACGTCAATGGCCCGATGTACAGGATATTGTGGCTGGATTGTTGCGCCATCTAAAGCAATCGTTAGTAGTTAAATGAAATTAGATTGTGTTGTATTTGTAAATAATTCTGAGAAAAGGATAAATTGGCTTGAAAGGTTTGAAAAAAAGGAAAAAAAACAAAACAAAAGGAAAAATAAAAATAAATGCAAAGATAAAATGAAACGATAAGAACAACACAACAAGGGAGCTATTATATAAAATTATTATTATTAAAAAAAAAGTATAGTTATTGCTAATGCGTTAAAATGAAGTATCGAGACCGAAACAACCAACTAAGGAATTTTTTTATTGCATCTTATATCTTAATCGTAAAATATTAAGGCTTTTAATTATTTAAATTTTATATTTTTACTGTCTGTAGTCGATATGTAGATATAGAGAAACAAGTTCAAGTTTTGCAAATGATTAAAAAAAATTAAACGTTTTTACAAATTTTTTATGTTTATTTAATTTCAATTTTTTTTTTTTTTAAATATAGGCAAGATATATATAAGCTTCTCGTAGAAACTATAAAAAAAAAAAAAAAAAAAATATTTATTTAACAACTAAGAATAGAAAGAATTGTAAATAAAATTAAAAAAAATAAAAAAATACTCTTTTTTTTCCCTTCTCGTCTCTCTTTCTACATGATTGTAAACCTTTAAGCCCTTAAAACTAAATAAAATTAGTTTTAGGTTTATTTCGTAAGCTAATCATGGAAGTGTATAATAAATTAATAATTCTTTTAGTAATAAATAGCAATTGACAGCTCTCTTTCTCTCCCTCTCTCTCTCTCTCTCTCTCTCTCAAACACACACATTCTTTCTTTCTCTCCCTCTAGACCAGTACGGATATTTCCATTTTATATAACTTTCTTTTTATTAAATGGCTTAAAAAATATTTAAAGGGTATACGTTTTGTATGTGAAATGTTTTTAATTATTCTGTGAAATATGTTTAAATGTTTCGTATATATATATATATATATACATATATATATATATTTATAAATTATATAAAGAAATGAATAAAATTGTTGGAAAATAAAGAATACAGACCATGAAAAAAGTTATTAAAAAAAATATCCACAAGAATAA